CTGAATTGGATGTTAGAGGGATGCCCTTTGGGGAACAGGCGAGACTCGATGTCGATGGCGAACATGGAAACGGAAGTATCGACCAATTTCGCGAAATCCAACACCCAGAGACCTACGGAACGAAATGAGATATTGGGATATGAGAGTATTTGGCTGACGTACCAGGTCCGGTGCCGACGTCCAGAACCTTGTCATTAGGTCCCAGCTCGACTGGGGCAAAGAGAATCTTGTTGTCGAATAGACGCTTCAAGATATTGTGCTGAAAGATCAATCTAAGTGCTTCAGAATCCGCCCATGAAGCGCCAAAACCAGGACATACCTATCTCTCTCTGGTTCGTCAGTAGGCAGAGCATACTGGGATCCAGGATATGCTTGATAGGCGCGCTGCGAATGCTCTATGGGAGCAGGAGAGACACCCGCAGGTTCGTCAGTCCCGTTTATCGTCTCTGAAAGATGAAGGAGATGACCGTTCATGACAACGTCAAGAGAGGAACGCGGAAATGATATTCCTCATCTGAACTTTGACAAATGGTGTGGGAAGCCGCTGGCAGCTTCCCAAATATTCCCAAGCCGCTACAGAGAAGCTTCTCCAATATACTTATTCCCAGCGACTCAATTGTTATCTCGGTGGAATCGTCCGGGGTAAAAAAGAGGAGACGGCCGGCCTATTAGACGAAGGACATTTGGACAATGATGCCTTTTCAGCGATAGGCAGGTCTCTCCAAGTCGCTATCTAGCGCATTCTGTCAGCGACCAAACCATGAGAATAGCTGGCTTACTAGCGGGACCGGAAGCAGTGGAATCATAATCATGTGGGTATTTAGTTAAGAGTTCCTTGGAGTCAGGCTACACTTTAGTCCACTCAAGCCGAAGTCAAGACCCCACCGCCGTGACGTGACAATGACGTTACGTAATCATGGTCACGGAACAGAAGTGCTCGCTAGCCTTGGCCTATATGATGGTTTGAATGGCTGCAAAGCTGGATTGGACGGCGGAAACTGATAGTGATATGGCCTGAGAGCCTTTATGAATGAGGGACGGTTCGAGAAAAGATGTACAAGCGGCGGCGACGATTTGGCAGAGTTGAAGCCAAATATCCTGGTTGGAGGCCATAACGACAGGGAGACATAACGGAGTATCTTCTTCTTGGTGGTAAAATGATGTACGACACGACCAGACGGTCGGAGAAAATTTCTATCGAGCAGCCATGTCCGCCCAAATAAGCAGCGACTGGAGCGACTGAAGGAATCATAGTCAGGCTCGAGGTAGTATCCACCAGGGTTAAGGGCATTCACCTCATCATTGAGAAATGTCTGGTGTAGCTAAAGCAGCCTGGCACGAAAACCAGGTTTCGTCGTTTGTCGATTTTTCGTGCAAATGGTATCCCGATGCAAAACGTGAAATGGTCGCTGAATCGGGAGCCATGGAAGAAGGACAATGCTATAACAATAAACAACAGCCCATTAAAAGCAAAATACATTTACCCCTCCTGGAAAAGTCGACATGTCAGCGCAGGTCAGCCAAAAAGTTGCCAAAAAGACGGAATCTAACCTGGCGGTTGGATTTGACGTATTCCCCTAGTCCCAGTATGAAAGGAAGCAATAGCCATGATTCGGCACACCAGTAGACGTGTTTCTGCTGCCCAATAAGGCCTGTCAGACGCTTTGCAGACGCTGCTCAGTGACCAGTCAGTCCGCTGGACTCTTGCTGGACTCGGAGGCTGAAGCTGTTTACCATGTTTTTGACGACACCTGTGTACGCCAAGACGAGCTGGATGATTACACGATGTAGCTCATTCGTTAATGATCGACAGTAGAAGTAGTAATTGTCGGTGTGGACGTTGGAAAAATGATACAAAAGGCACGTGCAATAAACCTCCTCCGAGGACTTATCTCACTGTCAGGTATACCGAGAGGCTTCAGAGAATGACTGAGTCAGTCAAGAGAGATAGAAAGGACTAGAGAGAAACAGAGAAAACATGATTGCGTCGTTACTCCAAAACTGTTCTTACACTATTTAAGGGTCTGGGAAATGCACAAGGAAAAATGGAATATGTAATCATCTGCTTGTTATGGTAAAGCCCTTATTCCGCTTCACATACAAGCCCTTATTCGCCTCGTCTATGAGCACACTATTTCGAGCCCTTATTTCGTCTTGTATACTTCCTGTAAAACAATCAGCCAGAAACAAGCAAAGAGCAAAAAAGAAAAACCCACATCAATCTCCTTCTTATAATGCTTCGCAATCTTGTTCCTCTGAATCTTCTGCGCCGCAGTCACCAGCCCGCTCTCAGGCGTCCACTCCGTCGGCGTCAGAACGATATTCTGCAACTGCTCTTGCGGCTTGAATCCATTCTTCTTCCCAACCCCATTGCACGCTTTCAAAACCAGCTCGACAACTTTCGGATTCTTGCACAGCGTCTCGAGATCCTCCCCAGCCAACGACGAATCCAGTCCATGTCGCAGGTTCGATTCGTGCGGAATGATAATGGCCATGGGCTGCGTCGCATCCGCTGACGCATGAACACAAATGTTGCTGACAAAGTTGCACGCTTTGTATACCGATTCCAGACGTTCGAGCGCAATGTACTGTAACGACACGTCAGCAAAGCGAAAAGCAAAGAAAGAAAGAAAACGAACCTCTCCACCGGCAAGCTTGATAAGATTCTTAATCCTATCAATCAACGACAAAGTTCCATCCGGATTCCACTGTCCCACATCTCCAGTACGAAGGAATCCATCTTCCGTGAAGATGTCCTTATCATTATTGAGGTCGTCGCGCTTGTAATAGCCTTTGGTGACGCTGGGTCCCCTAAGGGCGACTTCGCCCTGCGGATTGGCATTGGTCGACACATATCCAGCGTCAGGGACGTCGATGAGCTTGATTTCGGTGGACGGAACCGGAAGACCGACAGGCCCATACTGCATAAGCTCTGGCGGCAAAATCGCGCACATGCCACAGGTCTCGGTCATACCATATCCTAATTCACCTCTTCAGTCGACCCAAAGCAGAAAAATCGAAGAAAAGCGCACCTTGCAGCATCGTAACCAAAGCAACATTCAAGAATTCCTGGGTCTCGCGACTCAATGCTGCTCCACCGCTCATCGCAATTCTCAGTCTTCCACCGGTGGCAGCTCTAACACCGCTCAAAACGACGCTGTCAGCCAATTGGCTGACTCCCGGAATCCCAGATTTCTTGGCCGCCATTGCCCCATTGAAGACGTTCTTCTTGATAGTGCCCCCCGAATTGACCTTGCTGATAATCCCCTTGCGAATCGTCTCCCAAACCGCCGGGACTCCAACCATAATGCTAGGCTTGAATTCCGCAATATCGCCTTTGCATTTTCTTACCGACGCATCGGTCAACGTCTTGACCCGACCAAAACCCGTCGGCATGCCGGAGAAGATAATAATTATCTCGACGATGTATTCGAGCACGTGGGCGAGAGGGAGATAGGCGAGGTATGAATCTTCCCGGGTCAGATGGTGACCGAGCAAAAGCCAGGCGCCGCCAACTGACGCGACGAGGTTGGAATGGGTGATGCAGACGCCTTTGGGAGCGCCAGTGCTGCCGCTGGTGTACATGATGCAAGCAAGGGTGTCTTTCGTCGGTGCTCGTGCTGTCACTGTATCCATGGACTTGGTCTTACCAAGCTCACGAAGCTCGGTGCAGCTTATGACCCGAATGTCTTCTCGTACAGCATGGAGGTCGGATATCAAGGACGAGCTGGCTTCGCCGTCGTACACGATGAGCTTGACGGTCGGGGTGTCCTTGAGGACGTTGTAGAGAGTCGGCAGAAGCTCTGCATTCGTGAATAAACCGACGCATTCTGGTTCGTTCAGGGAATGTTTGAGCCCTTCAGGACCAAGCGTATCATACGCCGTCGCTATGGTCACAGAAATAGCAGCACAGCCGTGGCTCATAAGCTGCCAGTGCAAGCTAAACCGAAATCAGAAAAGACCTCGCTTATTTCAGCAAGGATGACGCACCTCGTCTGCGAATAAATATTGAAAACCTGGTCCTTCTCGACGCCCAGCTCCACGAGACCCCTAGAGACCTCCGAAATAGCGTCCTTGAGCTCGATGAACGAGAGGTATTTGTAGTCGCTCAGCTGAAAATATTTCCATTTTTTCGTCTCGCTGACCTCCTTCCCCTCAACCATCTTCTTCACCTGCTTCTCCTCCTCGTGCACTTCGACGATATCTCTCCATCCAAGCGCATTCTTGCTCCCATGCGTCCTGGCGGCATACTGGATAATGTCGCAGGTCGTCTCGAGCCCAGCAAAAGGCTCCGTTATGAGCTTGTCGGCAGAAATAGCGATACGACGAATGGGCGATTCGCCTGGCTTGCCTTTGTCGATAGCCACAGAACCTTTGCCGAAGTATCCTGGTTTGTTCGTGTTCACCATGGTTGAAGGCAGGAAATCGTATGACAAGGGATGATGGAAGCTGTTGTATGTGACGCAGGGTGACGCAATCCCAATGACACCCTTGCATTCTTCCCACGCCCCGGATCTAGACTCTCTTGGGCTAGTGGGGTTTTGAGTCAAGTCGATTGACCTCCTTACCGTCAGGAATGATATGTGGCAATGTCACGAAATTTCAATAACAATGTCACGAAGACCCGAATAAGGTCGACACTGGAGGAGGGCTGTTGCTTTCGAAATTGAGCGCTCACAAAGTAAGCAATGCACCGCCACGATACAAACTCTTTGCTCCATGGAAGAAAAGGAGGATCCTGCCGCTCGACTCAATAGCGATCACCGCTCGAGAATAAGAGAAGCAGGCACCGATTTTCGAGTTGAAACCTTTGGAAGGTGCGACGAAACAATTAGCTCCGGGAGATGAGTCCTTCAGGCTGCTATAACCATTGAACCGAGGACGCTGACTTTTATGACAGACTCTGGAATATGCTACCGGCGTCCTGTTTTCGTTTACATTTACAGGGCCATCTAGGCCTGGGCGGCGCCGTCAGTGCCACTCCGGACTAGGTCTCTGTCGGGCACATGGTGTAGTTGGTTATCACGCTCGCTTAGCATGCATGCGGCAGGCAGCAAGCGTCGAGTCTGCGAGAGGTGTTGGGTTCAATTCCCAATGTGTCCATTTTTTTGAAAGACTTTCCCCGGAGTTACTTTTTCTAGATCTTGGCGCGTCCCAATGTGTATCCGGTTTAGTCATGTAAAAAACATTTTAATGTCCGCGTTCCAAGCGCGACCAAACCATTTTCGTTGTTCTCCATTCTCTACTAGCTGTACAGAAGACATGGATAATCCGTCGTTCAGACCAACCAGTCATCTAAGACTACTTTGATGTCTATATAGGCGGCTTGAACCTCTACTCTAGATCAACGAAAGTCGAGGGGTAACCTCGAAGGCGTTGCGGGAGATACAAAGATAAATCATTTCATCAGTAAAAAGTAGTTTTACTTTTCTACTTTTTGGTCTTTTTGACTTTTGACTTTTTGTACTTTTTGTACTTGAGCAAGTACAAAAAGTGAAACTACCGAATACTGATGTCACTTAGTAGACAGCTTGAGGACGTTCGAACTCCTAGCAGTGCTCGACTCGCTCGTTCATGAATACGAGCATGACTTTGCACGGCAGAACCGCCCTTTCAACCCAATACCTTGTCATGATGAGTACTTGAAGCACGATGTTTTGAGTATTGAAACAACGCCCGGCACGTGGTCCAACGCGCCGCGTGAATTCCGTCCGTCTGTCACTCTAAATACTGATAGAGCCTTCCCTGACACTTCTCATCAAAGCAGAGAAGTAAGTATGAGAATATGTAGTTGTAGCGTAAAATACAATATGGACTAATTAAACGGTTTCCGCGCCCAGAAGATGGTGAATTTCTTCCCAACCCCAGGAATGTCATCCCACTCCTTCTTGGTCCCTGCCAAGAGCGCATCATATTCCGCCTCTGAGCTGACAACTCCGAATCCCCCCGCCTGCAATACTGGAGTCTTGATACCCCGGAGTACGCCGAGATGATTATCACGGTTGATGATACCATCTTCCCCAGCCCATTTTCCGATGCGCTGATCGCGTTCCGCCATCTGAATATCCACAAAACCGGCATCCGCTAACATTCCAGGAATGTCTCTGGCGCAATTGAGATACAAATTGCGAGACTCGCCAACACGTCTGTACAACGCGACCAGCTTGTCCATGCATGGTCTCCCAGAAAATTTACCCTCGATCCAGGGAGAACCTTCGGCCAGCTGAACCCAACCTCCAGGCCGGAGAACACGATATATTTCTCCCAATGCTTTTGGCCATTCAGGAATTTGAAGTGCGAGTATCAAGAGGCGTTGATGGACGAGAGTGAAAGTGTTTTCCCAGTGCGAGGGAAGATTGAGGATTGAACCTACGCTGAACTGGATGTTTTTCGGTGCAGAATTGGGGAAAAGTCGTGGTTCTATATCGATCGCGTTCAGGCTGACCGAACGGTCGACAGATTTCGCGAAATCAAGGATCCAAACACCTGAATTCAACGATAAGGGAAGATTCGTCAAACAAAAGTGGCGGCATACCTGCTCCTGTTCCAGTGTCCAAGACTTTGTCGTCCTTCCCTAGATTGACAGGTGCGAATAATATTCTGTTACCAAACATACGCTTCAAAACACCGTGCTGGATTGTCAACCTGACTGAAACGTCAGACAGTCATTCCCCCAAGTAAAACATGATATTTACCTCTGTCTCTCTATTTCATCCGCGGGCAAAGCATATTGAGACCCTGGATATGTTTGGTGCGGTCTGGCGGAATGTGCTATCGCTACACCTTCACGGTGGATATTAATTTAATTTTGGGATGAATTTCAATCCAATGCGCACCGTTCATTGCAAGGGAAAGGAAACTTGAAGGACGAGGCAGCCAGCACTTTCAATGAACTACATTTTAAAGCCACTCACTCATGCCGCTTCCACGCTGTCATATCCCAATCTTCCTTTTACGTCGATTCTTCCGCAATTGAACTCCGGGCATAGTACCTACCGGCTAACACATCCACCCACTCCGCCGGCGCCGGACGAGCTCAGGTCGAATCCTTTACTTATAAAATTTATTCTGCACGACGAGAGTGCTATAGACGATGTTTTAAATATCACAGATATCAGAGATACCTGACGTCTGACTCACGTGTATCATCACCTAGCAGCATCGAAACGTTAGGTGACACGCGGTAATAACCCGAAGGGTAAATTTGGCATTTGTGCACGGATTGATGGCACAGAGAAGTCTCAGTGACCGTTAAGCGACAGACAGCACTCTTACATAATCCCTAGCGGTGCTTTGCAACAGTCCCCTTCACTCTCCGAGGTGAAAAGTGCATCTACTTGAAGTTATCATCTACAATTTATTCAGGTTTGATTGCCGATACTGAACCTCAAAAAAAGAGGAATTGGAGAGCGGGCTGCTGCATTTCTTTTAAAACAAAGGAAAAAAAGATGCCTGCCTGACTTTTCAGTTCTAATGCTCCAGATCCATAACTACTTATTCATGAATGGTCATGTCATGCTGTCCTTTATAAGTAGCTGCTCGCCCTCGACCCTAGGTCGATGAACTTGGAAAAAGTACTGTACATAGGTCTCATTAGGTGTGACTGAGTACCTAATCCGACCCTAGTCACACTCGATCAAACCCGCTCAGGTGGCGGTGAAACGCAGTGATATATGCCGATCAAACCTAAGACTCAGACTCCACGCCGCACGGTCCGTTCCCGGCACGTAGTCCAACGCGTCGCGTGAATTTCGTCAGTCTGTCACTCTAAATAGAGCCTGTATTTTTAGTCTTGTGATCCTCCTTGACATTTCTTATTAAAGCAGAGAAGTATGAGAATATGTAGTATTAGCATAAAATACAATATGGACTAATTGAATGGTTTTCGCGCCCAGAAGATGGTGAATTTCAACCCAGTCCCGGGGATCTCATCCCACTCCTTCTCTGTCCCTTCCAGGAGCGCATCATATTCCGCCTCTGAGCTGACAACTCCGAATCCCCCCGCCTGCAATACTGGAGTCTTGATACCTCGGAGTACACCGAGATGGTTATCACGATGGATGATACCATCTTCGCCAGCCCATTTTCCCATGCGCTGATCGCGTTCCGCCATCTGAATATCCACAAAACCAGCATCCGCTAACATTCCAGGAATGTCTCTGGCGCAATCGACATACAAATTACGAGACTCGCCAACACGTCTGTACAACGCGACCAGTTTGTCCATGCATGGCCTTCCAGAGAATTCACCCTCAATCCAAGGAGAACTTTCGGCCAGCTGAACCCAACCTCCAGGCCGGAGAACACGATATATTTCTCCCAATGCTTTTGGCCATTCAGGAATTTGAAGTGCGAGTATCAAGAGGCGTTGATGGACGAGAGTGAAAGTGTTTTCCCAGTGCGAGGGAAGATTGAGGATTGAACCTATGCTGAACTGGATGTTTTTCGGTGCAGAATTGGGGAAAAGTCGTGGTTCTATATCGATCGCGTTCAGGCTGACCGAACGGTCGACAGATTTCGCGAAATCAAGGATCCAGACACCTGAATTCAATGATAAAGAAGGATTCGTCAAACAAAGGTGGCGGCATACCTGCTCCTGTTCCAGTGTCCAAGACTTTGTCGTCCTTCCCTAGATTGACAGGTGCGAATAATATTCTGTCACCAAACATACGCTTCAAAACACCGTGCTGGACTGTCAACCTGACTGAAACGTCAGACAGTCATTCCCCCAAGTAAAACATGATATTTACCTCTGTCTCTCTATCTCATCCGCGGGCAAAGCATATTGAGACCCTGGATATGTTTGGTGCGGTCTGGCGGAATGTGCTATCGCTACACCTTCACGGTGGATATTAATTTAGTTTTGGGATGGATTTCAATCCAATGCGCACCGTTCATTGCAAGGGAAAGGAAACTTGAAGGACGAGGCAGCCAGCATTCTCAGTGAGCTGCATTTAAAGCACTCACTCATGACGCTTCCACGCTGTCATATCCCAATCTTCCTTTTACGTTGATTCTTCTTCAATTGGATTCCGGGCCTAGTACCTACCGACTAACACATCCGCCCACTCCGCCGGCGGCGGACGAGCTCAGGTTAAATCCTTTACTTATAAAATTTATTCTGCACGACGAGAGTGCTATAGACGTTGTTTTGAACATCACAGATATCAGAGATACCTGACGTCTGACTATCATCTAGCAGCATCGAAACGTTAGGTGACACGCGGTAATACAGTAGCCCGAGGGATAAATTTAGCACTTATGAACGGATTGATGGCAGATAGAAGTCTCAGTGACCGTTAAGCATTCAATTGACAGACAGCACTCTTAATCGTTTTCTTTGGGCTTCCTGTATATTCCGTGAACTGCGCGAAATGATGCAGTGTTACTCCAACGCTGCCAGTTGACTTGGCATGAGCAGTGAATTGATGATAGATAGATAGATAGATATGAATTCCTCGCTGATAATGATCCAGCTAACAGCGAGCGCTAACAGACGGCATCGATCCAATGAAAGTCAGGCTTGATACGGCACAGGTTTGTATGACTCTTTGGTCATTAATCGACAGCGAGCGCTAACTTGACCTAGCTGATGCTTGTCACCACTAGAATATAAAGCTTACCCCCAAAAGTGGACCTGAACAGATACTTTTTCTTTCCTTGCCACAGTCCCTCCTGCAGGTCGATCCTAGCTCCATCATTACCTTTCCCTCCACTCATTAAATCTAAATGGCTGTATGAAACCTTCTCTTCTCTGGAGACCATGCTGACTTTCATTCTCGTAGTACACTCAAAAACAACCCGGTGCCGTTCAAGGCATGCAGACCACCGGTGACCCCAAAAATGCCAACAATATGCCTTTTGTTGATGGAGAGCGTGAATGGTCCAATGGTACCTTCGACTGTTTCGCGGATCCCGTCACTTGTATGCGCCAATTTCGCTTATTCATCCTCTATTCATCATGTTGTAGGCTTGGTCTCGTGGTTCCTTCCCTGTGTCAGTTATGGGCGCAACCGCGCGAGATACGCGGCTCTGACCGATAAGGTGAGTCTTACCTCTTATCTTTTGATTCGTTTATCTCATGATTCTTCAGGGTGCGGTCA